TAAATACACAAATATTGTCGAAGTCGAAGATACGCTTAATCAGGTTAGGCAACAACCAGCAAAAAGGAAGCAATGCAATTCATCAGAGCATATAACATTTGAATTAAATTCGTCATCATCGGAGTCGGACGCCGAGGCGGGTGGCGAGATGTCCTCGGTCGCAGGCGGACGCATCACTACTGAAGGCAGCCTGCGAGCTACGAGTACTCGCCGTCTCCGCCGATGTCGCCGATTATCAACTACGAAGACTAGTGAAGACGGTGTGGAAGGTTTATCTTTTATAAACGAACAACACATTAATAATTTTGAAACCGATGAACATAGTAAGCAATCTAAACCTGAGACGTTGTCAAAAAAAAATGAATCATTCCAATCGCTTCTGAATAAAATTAAAAATAGAATTCGAACAATTATTAACACAAGAAAAAATTCATATAGCCGCGGTTTGTGAAACCTGGTTGGATCCTTGTACTAAATTTAAATTAAAAAACTATAGGGTATTTAGGGCAGACAGAGAAGATGGCTACGGGGGTGTTTGCCTTATTAGCCATAATTCTATTCAAGCGCAATCATGTCGTATATACCACCCCAATGAGGACATACAGATTCTTCATTGCAAGATTTTTAACTGTAAGAATATCGAAAATGTAATAACTGTTTACTGCCCTCAGTGGGCGTCTACACGTCGACATGACTGGGACGTTCTGTTTTCACAATTTCATTAAAAAACCTTAATTTTAGGTGATTTTAATGCACACCATTTCACCTGGTCATATAAAACTGATGTTCGTGGTTCCCAAATATACGATTCCTTATCGGATTGTAGTTTGGTTTCTTTAAATGATAACAGTCATACTCGCATTAAGTTGGTAGCTGGCTCAATACAACAAAGCTCTCCTGATATCTCAATAGCCTCATCTGATATAGCATGTTTTTTAAACTGGAGAGTAACAAATGAATCCCTAGGTAGCGATCACCTCGTTATTGGTATTTCTACTGCGTCCTCTTTTAGTCCATATTTCGATAAAAAGCGTAACTTCAAGGCCGCTGACTGGGATGCGTATAAAACTTGTCTTGAGAGCAAATTTTCAAATTTTGTCATAGCAGGTGAACCTCAATGTTTATATGATGATTTTATTAACCATATCAATCAAACAGCCAATGACCTTATCCCCACAAAAAAAAAGTCTCTAAATCCCACAAGCAATTTTACCCCAAAACCTTATTGGACTCCTAAATTATCACATTCAGTAGCCAAAAGAAGACTTGCTTTATCCAAATTTAGGAAAAACCCTACCCCTTTTAATCTAGTTATTCTTACTCAGTGTGTTAAAGAGTCTCAAAATCTCATAAAAAAGGCCTCAAAAAAAAGCTGGCATAGATTTTGTGATAGCTTGGATGAGGTTTCTTCTGCTAATGAAATGTGGCGTAAAATGAAATGGATGAAGGGAAACATAACCTGTAACCCTTTCGTAGATCAAAATAAAAGTGAGTCGCTATTGTCAAGTTTATGCCCTGCGTATGTTCTTAATTCTAAGCCTAATTTCATGTCTAAAAACGATAAAATAGAATCCGAAATTACTTTACATGAAGTCGAAACTTGTATTAAGACGAGTGATACGGCACCGGGGTGGGACGATATATCATTTTCAATGATAAAACATTTGCCTAGTAATGGAAAGAGAGTATTATTATCCCTATACAATATAGTCTTAAATACTGGTTTCACTCCCTCTCAGTGGCGTGATATTTGTGTCGTTCCAATCCCAAAGCCTGGACGTGATCCCACACTTATTACATCTCTCCGCCCTATTAGTTTGATGTCCTGTGTTTGTAAGATATTTCATTCAATCTTGAACAGGAGATTGGAGTGGCTTTTTGAAGGAAAAGGGTTATTTTCAGAAGAGACTGTTGGTTTCAGAAAATCAAAATCTAGTCTGGATAGTTTGACGCGACTGGTAACGAGGATCCAGTCAGGTTTCTCCAAAGATTTAGCGACCCTAGCATGCTTCCTTGACATTGATAATGCATACAATAATATTAACATTGACTCATTGTTGTTTATTTTAGATGAGATTGGTGTTGGCGCGAAAATATGCAACTACCTTTGGCAATTCCTTAGTACAAGAAATTTAAAAACTAAATATGGATATAGTTTCATTAACCGCACTACAGGTCAAGGACTAGCACAAGGCGACCCACTGTCCCCATTGTTATTTAACGTTGCAACTTACAATATTTGTAAATCCATAAATTGTGTATTTGTATCTCAGTATGCCGATGACTTCGCACTGTACACTTCAGATAGATACATAGAAGATGCACGTAACTCTCTTCAGGGGGCATTAGATTTTTTAGTTAAATCATTGGAAAATTTAGGTTTAAGTGTTTCGCCTTCGAAAAGTAAGATGTGTATCTTTAAAAAGGGTACTAATAGGAACAATTGTATAATAACAATTGATGGTATCCCATTGGAAGAAGTATCTAGTGTGAAATATTTGGGTATGTGGTTAGACCGATCTCTAAAATGGACAAAACACATTAACGAACTATATGCAAAAGCACATAGATTTTTAAGCATTTTAAAAGTACTAGTTGGCCCGGGGTGGGGTGTACACCCTAAACATTTACGACGACTGTATATTTCATTAATTAGAAGTCGCTTAGATTACGGCAGTTTTCTTTATGATAGTTCTTGCAAGTCAAAATTATACAAATTAGACAAAATTCAGAATGCAGCTATGCGTATAATTGGAAGTTTCGTTAAAAGCACTCCCATCTACGTAATGGAAAGCGAACTTTGTATTGATTTTTTTGTATTGACGCCCTTACAGATTCGTCGACTATTTCTAGGGGGTAAATTTTGGCTTAAATCGATGTCCATGTTTAACAATTGCACAATCAATGTTATAGAAGAATTAAACTCACTTATTTCACGTAGATACTGGAGGCGTAAAAAGATCCCTATTCTCCTTACAATAAACTCCACATTTAAGGATATTAATATATATTCACAATTAAATTTGGAAATGTTCTCATTAGATTATTGGATTAACTGGTACAACTTAAATGATGTAGTGAAGCACAATATTGAAGGTATATGTGGTGCGAAGAGAAACTATAACCCTTGTCTGCTCCGGGAACACTGCTCCCTATATATCAAAAGCAAATATGCTAATTATTATAAAGTTTTTACCGACGGTTCCAAAGAAAGTTGTTTGAGTATGGGTGTTGCGTTTTACGATCCTCAGATTAATCAAAGTTTAAAATTTAGAATTTCTCACAATATGTCCATTACTTCTCTCGAATTGATTGCCATTTCAGAAGCCCTAGCATATATCAAATCAATAGATGCCAATAAAATTGTAATTTTAACTGATTCAAAAAGTGCGCTTCAACATTTTAAGAGGCATGCCGATAGCGTACGACATTATAAAATCCCTTTTTGAATTAAAATCAAATACAAAAGAGGTGGTCCTTCAATGGATTCCTTCACATATCGGGCTGGCAGGTAATGAGGAAGTAGATATATTAGCAAAGCAGGCTACTAGCGATGGTGTGCCCATAGACTTGCTGCCCTTTTTCACTGATTGTATACATCTGATTCGAGAACACGGCTATAAGCTTTGGAAGGTTCATTTTGATGAGCGATCAGTTGAGAAAGGCATATGGTATAGAACATTGCAAAATGAGCCTTGGAAGTCTCCATGGTTTGACAAGTGTACATTGAGGAGGCAGGTATTAACTATAGCCTTTAGATTGCGTTCCGGACACATTCCACTTAATAAATTTGCGTACATGATGAAAAAAGTGACATCTCCCCTTTGTTCTGAATGTGGGATATTAGAAGATGCGTTACATATTATGGTGGAATGTGTTCGGAACGAGGACATTAGAAATGATATGTTGTTTATAACAGAGAACTTGAAAGACATTGGAGCCTGTAACCAAATATTAGCTTTTCCCCTTTCAGAGGCAGCAAAAGCTATTTACAAAATTGTTGATATCGGTATGAGGCGACGTACGAGTATTTTATGTATATGATTGTTCTATTAATTGCTAATATTGTATGTACTGTATTCTAATTGATGACCTTATGGAGTGATGTAGTCCGAAAGGACTAAAACTCCTTAAATAAAAAAAAAAAAAAAAAAAAACTATAGTCGATAATGACGAATTAAAGGCGATAGTAGAAGTGGATCCAACTCAATCTACGGCTGAGCTCCGGCCTTTGGAGTTAGTATCAAAACAACATTCAAGCACTTGCGGAAAGATAAAAAAGCTAGACAAGTGGGTGTCTCACGAACTAAGCGATCATCAGCGAGACTTACGCGTATGCATAGCACTACTGAATCGGCATAGAAACGAGGGACTTCTGAATCGAATTGTTACCTACAATGAAAAGTGGATCTTGTACGACAACCGTTAATTTTCTTCTCATTGAGTAAACAAACAGTGTACAAAAGAAATACAATAAATATTAAAATAAAATCATCTAATGGTTTTGAACTTTAGTAGAGTTTCCATTGAATTACATCTACATCTACTTGTAGATTTTTCTATAATTATGTGTCCGTTATTTTAAGGCTAATTAAGACCAAATCCAACCAACAGGTTATCTTTACACATAATTAATGTGCATGAATGCAAAAAACCTTAAGCTGTATATTTTTATTATCTTTAAATAAAGGCGTTATTACAATTTTTTTCTTATTCTCAACTGTGCTGTCCATTTTTAAAATATGAGTTGGCAACACTACCAGATGAATGAATGAGTGAATGATACCAGAATGATTACGTTGTTAATTGCCGTTGTTGTCAATGTCAATGCAGTCAGCCAGGTCAATCACAAAGCCATTAACCAAAAAGTTGAAGTTGATAATTATTGATTTTCATAATTTACGCAAGGTTAAAAGTACATAACACCTTTACAGACTTTCAAGTCAATTAGTGAAGTAATAGAACATTATTAGTATACGAATATCTCGACTAGAGAAACCATGTTATCATATGAAAACAAATTAATATTGGCGCCAATGGTCCGCATAGGTACTCTACCCATGCGTCTTTTAGCGTTACGATATGGTGCCGATTTGGTTTACACTGAGGAATTGATTGACTGGAAGTTTTTGAGATCGAAACGTAAATATAATGGTCAGTGCAGTGGTCTAATAGTGCCTCCATACCAATATTTTCATTCAATTATAACTAGTTATCTTGCTGTCATGCCGCGATCCGAGATGATTGTATAATCGTAATATTAAAAATAATATGAATTGGCTACTATCGTTCTATGGCATGTTACGAATTTACAATTATTCCTAACATGAAAATCCCTTAACCCCAACAAATTTTGTCCAATGCTTTGTTATAAGCTAATAACCTGTGATTCACATTCTTATTTTCTGGACCTTACTTCACAGCGATAAGACAAGCTATTACAATAGTATGTGTTGTATTATATATGTATTTATATTATTTTTAGATACTTTAAATACAATTGATTATGTGGACCAAACAGATGGAACTATAGTATTCCGGACTTGTGATAAAGAAAAAGAAAAAGTCATATTACAACTTGGAACATGCAATGCAGAAAGAGCATTAAAAGTGGCTAAGCTAGTGTAAGAATGTACATTTTGAAATAGACATAATTGAGATAGATAATCTAATTTAAAATCTTACATTGTATTTTTATTTCCAGAGAAAATGATGTAGCTGCAATTGATATAAATATGGGCTGTCCAAAGGAATTTTCTATCAAAGGTGGTATGGGTGTAGCTCTTCTAGCACAACCAGAGAAAGCCCACAATATTTTAACAACTTTAGTAGAAAATTTATCCATACCTGTTAGTTGCAAGATAAGGATACTTGAAACACCAGAAGATACATTGAAGGTGGTAGAGAAACTGGTGAGTTCTGGTATCAAAGCAATTGCAATTCATGGTAGAACGCGTGATGAAAGACCTCAACATGCTGTACATCCAGATGTAATAAAGTATGTTGCAGAAAGGATTTCCATACCTGTTATAGCAAAGTATGTGAGGTTATAGATTTAAGTCTTTAATTTACTCATGAATAGCCAATATTCATTTTATGTGTACTTATTGCAGTGGAGGCTCTAAAGAAATTGAAAAGCATCATCATATTCAAGCATTTAAAGAAATGACAGGGTGTACAAGTGTGATGCTAGCAAGGGCTGCTGAGTGGAACTGTTCAATATTTAGAAAAGAAGGCTTACTACCAATGGATACAGTTATCAAAGAATATCTTAAGCTTGCAGTTGATTATGACAATTCACCTTCTAACACAAAGTACTGTGTACAAAATATATTAAGAGATTTACAAGAAACTCCTAGAGGGAGAAAATTTTTAGATTGTCAAACTTTAGAACAAATATGGTAAGTCACAAAATATTTAGTTTTGTTTTGTTAATATTTAGTTTGGTTAATATGCCCTCACATAGAGCCATTGCTATGATAGTTAATTAATTAAAGGTTGTATTAATGAAGTGCCACACAAACGGGGAAACCAAATTTTTCCATAAGCAATTTCAAAAGTAGAAAGAAATCTGCTTGGATGGAAAATTTCAGGTTCTTCAAAAACTACTTAACAAAAGGAAAAGTAGTGTACATAATTTGCCCTCATTAAGGTATGCTTTCCACACATGTCATGTGCAAAACATATCTGATATGGAAATTTGCAAACTCTTATTATCATAAAAAATATATTACAAAAAAAAATACAGACAAATTAATAACCTCCTCTTTTGTCTTTAAAGTCGGGTTAAAATGGCAAATCATTTATCTTTATATATTATACAGATTGATGTGCGAATATATTTCTTTAATTAAAGCAAATTTTACTCTTCTTACACTACTTCTTAATTACAATAAATTATTTCAGTACTATTTAATTTTCAGTGACATATGGGAATTAGGAGAATATTGTCACGAGAAGCAATCAAAATACCAAAAAATGGGTATACAAGGTAGATGGCAGGTTTGCCCTCACGAACTAGAACCACCACAGAAGAGAATAAAAATGGCTGAAACTGACCTTGTTGGTGTTATACAAATGAAAGTATGTATAATCCTTAGTTTGTATAGTGTACCACTTTTTCATCATCATCATCATCATCATCATCATCATCATCATCTGGACATAGGCTTTACCTTAGAGGTTTTGCCTTATTATACCACGCTGGCCAGATGGGTAGGTATAGGGTTTGTTTCAAGTTTTTCTTCTCTTTGCAGTTTTGTTATCCTGTAGATTTTGCTCCATTAGTAGGCCCTTACCACACCCACGGAATAAATACGGGTGTGACGCATTTTGGATTCCCTTAATTATAATCTCTACAAATTACCTTCGAATCTATACAAATCATCCTAGGCTGTTGCTATAATTCTTAGCAATAGTTTAAAAATAATAGGATTAAGTGACTAATATTATTATCGAAATTAAATTCAATATGTCTAACATCATTTGATAGAAACAAGAAGTGTATATCGAGACCCCTTGTGCCTCAGTGAACATGTTAAGCCGTCGGTCCTAGTTACCTTATGGACATCTATGGCAATGGTTACGGGTAGTTAGAGCCCTAAAAGTTTGACAACAATCTGGTATATCATTCAGTATTCGGGTTGTGGAGGTCTGATGGTAGCCTTTCCATGTAAAAATCGAAGTTCATCTGTATAATAGTAGACTGAACGCCAACCCTGACCTAGTTTGGGAATAGGGCTTGGAGGATAATGAATGAGAATTTTCTTAACGTCAGTGAGCTCACAATTTTTTTGTGAGCTCACTCTTCATACTAAAGACAAATATAGATATTTCTGACCATTCTTTATCACGACTAGACATCAAGTAGACATATAAACCTGAGATGACTGCAACATCACTCTTATAACACACCTCAGGGCAGACTGATTGTTAGTGTGTATAGTACAAAGACTAAACAATTTTCGAAATTTAACAATTAAAATGAAAATTTTCACTTAATTTGTACATTTGTTTTAGGTATGTTTCATTCGAGCTAATTTCAATGATCGTAATATGCCTAAGGCGAAACTCCATGGATGGGCAGGAAAAAATGGCCACAATCTACCTGTGTATGAGACTCAGCAAGTTGAAAAATTATTTCGCACCATATTGACATTCAATGACAAGAAATATACATCAACATTTTGGGAGAAAAATAAGAAGTTTTCTGAACAAGGTGCAGCTTTAGTCTGCATGTTTCACATAGGATTAGTGACTGAAGAGGAACTGATTAAATTTGGAAGTATAATAAAATGAACTTCAAAAAGAGCAAAAGAAATGTTTTTATATTTTACGTTGTTTAAATACATACATCTTAAATAAATTTCACAATAGTTAAGTATTGTACATTTCACTGTACACATTGCAAACATCATACCCTAAATTCCAAAATGACTGATCAACTCATACCTGTTGGCAGTAATAAAAACCTTACGTGAAATACTAGATTTATAAGTAGGTGCCTCAGGTAACTTCATGTCTAGGATTAATAAATTAGTTTTCGAAATCAAATAAGAAATATCTAATTATTGCCAATTAATCATGTGTACTTTTTTATTTTCAATTAAATTACTATCAATCAAAATTAAATCACTCATCTCTACACCACCCTAAGGTAGACTGGCAGAGAATGCCTAAGGCATTAAGTCCACCTTTGTGCATAAATAAAAAAAAAATTGTAGAAATTATAATCTCTGTAAAGACACTTTGGCCACATCTTTATTTATATAGGACATAGGCCTCGGCTCTTATGGCTGATCTTAACACTTGAATATTATTATAAAAGTGCTCTCAAACAGAATATTTTTTGTCAATTTCTTGTGCTAATTTTATATAGTTTCTAAGTTGCTGATTTCACACAACACTGCAACAATTGCTGCTATCTTGAAGTGTAACCTGTTGATCTTGCCAAGATTTTTATTCAATTTTGCTTGATTAGAAATGATTTATCCCACTTTACTGCCATATCACTGTATATCTGCTCTGAATATGGTTAGGTGAATCTCTTTTCTTTCCTTTGCTCACCACCGTACTACTAATGCAGAGCAAAAGTTTTTGTCTCTTGTTTAGTAGTATGTGTACAATTTTAGTAGAACATTATCATCTTCAATAAAACTGTACTTATACTACTCCAGTGTGCATTTTGTTAATACACATGGAGCATATATTGAGACTTGATGTGCCAAGTGTGAGTGATGTTGGTAGCGTTCAGTTTATTTCATGTTATTACATATGTCTATTTGCCTCAGCAAATTATTGCACAATGAAATTGCGCCACGGGTATAGTGGCAGATATACTTTTTGTAGCCTGTTTAGAGGCACCATGAGGTAATATGATATAAAATATTTGTTTTGTTTAACATGAAACTCAAGATTATGTTTGACAATAATGCTTTAACTTTGTTTTTTCATATTTGCTATGTTTTCTACTAATTCTTTATTCAATTCCTCTAGTTTAGAATTTAAAAAACCTTGTTTCAACAAATCTTCTTCAAGTTGTCGAAAATTCACGTAGCAAGAAAGAGCATTCTGCAAAGTTTCGTTAGGTTCTTGTGTTTTTATTAGTATACTGTTCACCTGCATCCCATGCATACCAGATAAATCTTTTAAAATTTGTTGGGTATTAGGAATATTTGGTACTGTGTACTTTTCCATTCTTCAATTATTTAAATATATATACGTGCTTTGAAACCAATTTAGCTATGTGTAATTATGAATTACATATAGATTTATGTACACTAAACTATATAACGACTGATTATAATACCTTTATTCAAATACGAAAATATAATAGAATTTTATGTAGAGATCTTACTATTTTATTTAACTATGTTGACAAATAGGCAGGGCAGGGAGGGCAATGACCAGTGTTGCCAGGGCTCTTGAGTCATAAGTTACGTTTCGTTCCCTGAAATGTTACACTTTCGCTGTAAAAGTTACATCATTCCTTTTTTTATTGACCATGGCGCGAACTTACAAACATCAATTTTTATTTAAGTACCTATGTAATTAACGTAATATATAATTTTTTTTTGTAAAATAATATCGGCATATTTAGACTTCACTTTTAGTTTTTGGACCGGCACTTTTTCGTTTGCTATCTTTCGACCCGAGGATTTGGAAAAAGGTACTTAGTTGACCAATTTTAATGGGTAGTACCTATCAGTACGACTTTTCGAGCTTTTGACAATAGTAACCTAAATCGGATCGGATCGAAACGGATTTCGGAATGGTCAAAGAAAAGTTATTTTATCACCTAAAAAATGCTTGCTCATATTATCGCATCATTATCAATAGGTTCTTATTAATACATTTAAGATAGGTACTTGCATCACGAAAGTTTATAAAACCTTAACGATGAACTTACTTACCAAACAATACATGTAATTATCGAAACTTCACTCACGTACTTTTCTCACAGACAACAAACAATACCACTAAACAATCTAAATTACAATGAGCCATGTTTATATTATTTTTAACACGCTTTTATTACCTATATATGTGTGTTACGGAATCTTCGAACGTGATTTTGATCCACTTCAAAACGTCGAATTCAATTTAAAAAAATTGCACACTTATGAAGGACCGATGACAATGCAATAATTTAAATAGTTTGCCTTATTATCCTGATCAGGACCTTCAGGATTAACGGTTTTTTTCTCCACGTACTAAGGCGTGTGCTAAAGCACATCTGATAAACCTACTCTAAGACAATAATCATTATAAATGACTAAAAAAGGAAAAATAAATTATAGTATAAAAACTTTAAAAAATGTAGGCAATAATTTTATATTAGTGCAAAAGAAAAATGTTTTTTCGTAAAAAAAGAGCGTGGGGGTGCTATTCAAGGTATTAAATAATATAATATAAGTAAATTAATTAATTTAATTTAAATTATCCACTAATAATCGTTTCACCTCTTTAATCATTTAAAATAAAATAAATAAATGAAGTAAAGTTCAACCAAAGAAAGAAATGAGACAGTGTATTGAAAATGTAATATCATAAGTCTGACAAACTGATTTTACAAATACGACTATCATTACTACTTACTATTACATTATATTTTTCCTTCTCTAAACGTAGTAATTTTACTGTTCGCATGCAGACTCGTGCCTTTTGATCATTTGTAAGTTTTGATTCGATTTTACTTCAAAAGAGATTTATAACTTCAGAATGCTCAGCCATTTAGTTCTTAAAACAGCATCTTTTGGAAACCTGATAATTTACATACACTTGTCGAATAATTGACACAAAATGAAAATTATTAAGTTTAGAATTAAACTTATGTGTGAAAACTACGTTTGTTCAGAGAAGAGTAAACCTCTTTGCATTGAAAACAACGCTTTATTTTTTGTTTTGAATTTACAGCTTTTCATCTGTGGAGGAACGGGTGTCATGTCCCTCTAACACAAAGGGAGGATCCTCCGACCAGGCGAGGTGATCATGCCTGGCGGGCCGCGGCCCAACGGTTGATGTTGGGAAGTTGTATATATGCTAATCGGCGAGGGAATTCTTTATATCGCGATACCGGATTAGCAATTCTTATTTTAGTAGTTACTCCGTAGTTCGATGTGTCTTCATTAGATGGCGCTGTAGTATGTTTATGTGGGAGTCGCCACACATCAAAAAGAGTTTGCAGTTTGTTTATTGTTTGCAAGTCATATTCCCCAGCAACCCCCGGGCCCGATTAGAAAGAGATAGAGGTAAATATCTACAATTCATCTCTCTCGTTTGCTTTTTTTGCATAATTGGGGCTCTTGTTCACTCTATGCTTATACCTCTATGATAATGATTGATCCTAGAAAGAGACCAAATTGACACATACAAATGTCATAATGAAATCAGCTCTTTTTTGCAGTGATGTACCTACGATACCGGTTTGTTAATTCGTAGCTTTTCATATTTCTTTAGTCGATGTTTGTCAACAAATGTTTACAGGTTATCATCTTAATTTTTTAATAAATTGAGAGCAGAAAGAAAGAAGGCCATCAAAGTTATCGTTTAAATAGATAGGTTCCTTAATACCTTCTGTATACTTCACCGACGATAGAAAATATTAAAGCATTGGTTGCCAATGAAAAAGGCGAAAAATACTAGGGTCAGAGTTAGTGACAGAGTCAGATAGTAAATGCTTAGGTTATATCACTAAAACGGTTGGGACAGCAGAAGGAAAACCAGACCCTCATTTTATACGCCGGTGTAACCTTCAGCAACATCTGTCTTCTATTGAACTGTATTTGTTTTGTTTTTACTTGTAACTAACATTGTTTTATCTTAAAGGCAATTATTAGGTATGGAGCTGGTATGCAGTTTAATTTATATATTAGTGTCACATTAAAGAGATTATGTTCAATTCAGATATTACTTAGGCCCTATTACAGAATGTTTCTCAAAACTCAAGAAACGCTTGAGCGTAGTTCAGTAGTCAGCAACTTCACCCCGTCCTTTTCCGCCTAACGCGTGAGGTAAACAGTTAATTTAGACAGGTGAATTTCTAGTATTTTTATATCTACCTACCTAAATACATTTTCTCTCATTTAGAATTGATGACGTGGGTCTACCTTATTACAGTGGTATGTGGGTATAAATATGCAGATAAAGGCCTAAACAAGCCGGTCAGGTACGAGTCGAGGGTTCCGTACCTACCCAGATTTTACTTAGATTTTCGCCAAAATTTGTAAGTGCCAAAATTTATCATAATTGTCAACTTTTTTTATTTTTTGGTATTTTTCCTTAATTTGTGCTGTACGACGTTTTTTTTTTGCCAAATTTCGTGATTCTAGGTCAACGGGAACTAACGTATAGGTTTTCGACCCAAAACCTATAGGGTACTTCCGGTTGACCTAGAATTGTCAATTTTGGTTAAAAGCACGGTCTTACAGCACAAGTAAAAAGAAAATTCTGAAAAATAAAAAAGTTGAAAATTAAGGTAAATTTTGGTACTTACAAGTTTTTGCGAAAATCGAAATTTGCCCATATCTTTTTATCCTGTTGACTCAAGACCTTGATTTTCATACACCTAATAGGAACCATAGACTTCAGTATCTGGTATAAATTTCAACTTGCTACTACCATCTGCTCTACCCATTCCTGAGAAAGTGGGTGGTGACACATGGACAGACGGACAAGAAAGTGATCTTATAAGGGTTTTCTTGTTTACCTTTATAGATACGGAACCCTAAAATACACTAAATACAGTATACAGTCGAAATTTTAAAATGATAGTGAATTGAGTTTCGGTTTCGGCCGAA